AACTGAGGCAGGCAGGCACTGCCCACTTCTTCCTGCAACCCACAAAAGGCCCCAAATCAGGCCTCTCTCCAGCCTCCACGTGTCCCCGCCTCATCACAGTGTAGCACACAAAGGCCACAGCAGCTCAGCAGGAGACCCAGGTCATAAAACCCCCTGAAACTCACCCGGTCACCCTCCACTCCAGCCCTCACCCAGCATTACCATGGGGAGGAGCCAGTCTTGGTCATGAAAAGGCGCGCAACCGTTTCCAAAATGCAAGGTTCCAGGGCAGCCCTGCCACAGCCTGCCATCTGCCCTTGGAGAGACCACTCCACAGCAAATTGCAAACAGCTACATACTTTAGTGCAATATGCCAGGCACGGGGCCAAGTATTTACCTGCACTGTCTCACTCAGGCCTTAGAAAGCCCCTAAAGGGTAGACGTCTCAGCCCCATGCTGTACAAGATGAAGCCAGGGCTTAGAGGTGAGACGCCTGCCTGAGGGCTACACTGGGCAGGGGCGGGAACAGGACTTGAATCCCTGTCCAGTCTGTCCCTTCTCTCGGGCCTGTTTCCTTTTCCATCAGGAGAAGGGGTAGGTCAAATTATCTCTAATTCCCTTCCAGCTCCAGGAAAGAAAAACCATGTTTGCCTACACAAGCTCCACACCCATGTGTCTGGCAACACCTGCGGCGGGCACCAGAGGCCCACGACTCCCCAGGAATGAGGAGGCAGGGCCTGCCGACGGCCCTGCTGAGGGCTGGCTTCTCCCTATCCCAGAGGCCTGGCCCAGAGACTGAGGGACACCGTATCCTCCTGTTAATGGCCTCCCCCCACCTCCCCACGCCCCACATTGCCCCTGCACAGCTTCCTCTGCCTGGTAAGTCTCTTCTTTCCCTACGAAAGCTTGCCCTCTCCTCTCCACCTCGTCCTGTTCTCTTCTGCCTCCCCAGACGGAACCAGCTGGGGTTCAGTATTCACAGGACCACCGACACCTGGGGAGGCAGCAACTCCCAACTTCAGCTCCGTCACCCACTGCCCCTTCCAGGAGGCATTCCACCTCCACTAAACACCCTCATCAGAAAGAGGGTGCTATCCCTCCGCCTATGTCCGTTCTTGGTGACTTCTCTTCATCACCCCTCTTGACAGGTTTCACATTCCATTTTACAAACATGGGCCCTAAAGCTCAAAAAAGCCCAATGAGGCCCAAGATCACACTTCCCTAAAGTGGCTGAGTCAAGGTTCAAACCCAGGACTATCTGGCTCAAGGCCCACACTCTACCTTTGCACCAGGCTACCTGCCTAAATACTCCACTTTATGTTTGCAAAGGCAGTTTGATTTGCCAGAAGCAGAGCAAACCTCCCTCCTCCATGAAACCTCCCTTCCATCTAGAAGGCTAGGGCAGGACACCTGGATCCTCCAGCGTCACTGCTGCCTGGTTCAGGGCAGGACCGGACTGTTCTCCTCCTGGCCTTGGACTCAAGACTGACTGAACACCAGCAATCCCAGACCCAGGGCCTGTCTTTGAACTAGCAGAGAAGAGGGGAGGACTTGCCCGTCTCCCAGGACCTCTGGCACCAGACAGTGTTGGGGGAATCCTGGGACTTTCTTAGCCAACAGAATCCCAGTAGGAATCTGAGAACCCCAACAAAGAGAAAAGGCCAGAGATAAAGGAGAGTATACATTCCAGGAGGCTCTTGCAACAGGGCACCGGATTCTCAGAGATCGGATATTAAAGAGATTTGCAACTGAGCCCCAGATACAACAGCACCATTCTCTGAGTTCCTGGAACCCCAGCTGGATGCAGAGCGGCCTAGAGGAGACTCCATGTCCGCCCAACAGCCTTTCCATACAGAGATGGTGGAGGGGGCAGCACACAGCCAGATAAAGGTGCGTAAGGGGGGCAAGGGCTGTGCCCAGTGCTATAGAGTGGCAGCTTTGCATCCCAAAGCATCAGTGCAGCACCCTGGGTCACCCAGGCCGGGCCTCCCCAGGTGGGTGACACTGTGCTCAGAAATTCACCTCTCAGCTCACAGGGCAGCCAGGCAGGGTGATCCCCTGATCTAAGCTGCTCTGCCCACCCTAGTATGCCAACCAACTCTGCCGGGTCCGCGCACCTTGCTGGGTTAGGGGGTACTGCTCCAGTGCACGGCTTCAGGTGTAAGGTCTAGAGCAGGGAAGTGACTGCCTAAAGCCCCAGCGGACATGTGGCAGAGAATGCACTGAACCTAGGCCTCCCAGCTCCCCATCCAGCCTTCTTTCTGCTATGCACCCCACCATGCCCCTCTTGGTTTCTTGGTGGCCAGGCCAGGGCCTCACCACCCAGCTATGCACCCAAGTTTCCCCAGACAGAGCTGACCACACCATCTCTGCAGCTGCTCTGGATGCAGCAGGGTCAACAGGGGCAATGTGTGTTGCGGGGGGGGGGGGGGTGTCACAGGCCGAAGCCTTGCCCCACTGTGGGCACGGTCCCCAGAGCCCAGGACTCCGGGGTCATGGGAGGGCTCTGTCACATCTGGGAAGCAGGTAGAGGAAGCCGACTCAGTGAGCTGCAGACCCAGTAATTTCCTCATTTGTCTTGTCAATGTCCTTGTCCCGCAGTGTCAAGTCCATTACTTAAGGATTTTCTGCCAAGAAGATATTTAGTGTGAGTCTGGGAAGCAGCAGGGGCCTGGGCTGAGGTGAGGACCTCTGACCTTCAAACTTCCGGAAGCAAACCAAAGCTATTCCTTTACTGAAGGCAAACCCACGGGCTCCCACCCAGGCAGAAGGACTTAGCTGGACCTGAGCTACTAGTGGGGTAGGAAATGGGGAGCATCCCCCACAAAGCATCCACATGCCAATGGCATCCCCAGTCTATATATGAGCTCCTGAGCACCATCTCAAAAGAAGTGGTCCGAGGTGGACTTCTGTCCAAAGGCTTGTCATGGAGTTATCACAGTGCTCACAGACAGTCAGCAGGGGAACCTGCTCTGGGCCCAACACCTCTTATATCACCCCCACGGTGGCTCTGATGGTAACCCCCAGCAGGGTGCTCAATATACAGACCATCTCTAAAGTCTCCATTCCATCCATCAACACCACCAGGGCCCAAGGGCACACATCCAGAGGTCATCCTGTTGTCCCTGTCTCCCTTCTCATGGGGGTCTAGGATTTCCCCCACCAGATACATATATATGGTCTCAATCCCTTAGAGCATGCATTCTCAACCAGAGAGAACGGTGTCACCCCCAGCTGAGCAAAAATTGTTTATAAAAATAGTAGACATTGCAACAGTTTGTGGCCCTCCAAAACTCAGCCCTATCTGGTAAAATTTTATTCCTTGGCATTTGGTATGGACTGAATCATGTCTTCCCTGCCCCAAATTCCTATGCTGAAGCCCTAACCCCCATTGTGACTGCATTTAGAGATGAGGCTGTTAGGTAGTAAGTAAGGTTAAATAAGGTCATAATGATGGGACCTTGATTCAATAGGACTCATGTTCTTACATAAGTAAGACTCTCTCTCTCTCCCTCCTACCCATCCCTGCTCAGCTATGTGAGGACACAGGGAGAAAGTGACCATCTTCAAGCCAGGAAGAGAGGTCTCACCAGAAATTAAACCCTATCAGACCTTGATCTTGGACTTCCAGCCCCCAGAACCTTGAGGAAAAAAATTCTGTTGTTTAAGTCCCCCAGTCTATGGCATTTTGTTACAGCCCAGGCTGACTAAGACAGCATTTCTCTAGTGAGAGAGAATTAATTTTCTCCTTAAGGGGGCAGTAATGAAAAAAATGTTTGCAAACCATGGTCCTAGAGAATTTTCCTTTGAAAGGGTTTAGGGTCTCTCTGGAATCTTTCATTTCCCAGTTTAAAGCAGTGCTTCTCAACTGACAGCCATTGTGCCCCCAGGGGACATCTGGCAACTTTTGGAAACACATTCAGTTTTCATGACTTGGGGGGTTGCTACTAGCATCCAGGGGGAAGAGGCCAGGGATGCTGTTAATCCTGCTACAAGGCACAGGTCAGTTCCTGCAAGAAAGAATTACCCAGGCCAAAGCCAATAGCTACTGCTGAGAAACCCGGGTTTAGAGCAACAGAAACTACAGAGGGCCTCCCCTGCTGCCACGTGCCTGCCGGGAAACATGAGGCCTAGGAACCCTTGCTCGGGGAACCCAGGGTACAAGCCCACCCTGGCCCCTCTGAGCACCAGTGGGGACTTCAGGAAGAGTTCAGCCCAGTCCCCACAGAGCAGTTCCCAAGACCAGAAGGCCCTGCCCTCCCCATGCCCAAGCAGTGTCTGCTGGTCTCCCAAAGGCTACAGGGAACAAGGCCAAGAAGAAAGAACCAGAAAGCTCCTCAAGCTCCTACTCATGGACCAGGGCAGGCAAAGCTAGAGTTCAGCGTGGTACTTTTCAGCCCCCAGAGCCAGCCAGGGTGGGCGTAGTGAGGAGTCAGTCCTCCCTTGGCCCCCTCAGCGGGGTTCAGGAAGTACGGCGCTTGGGAGAGGGGATACCAGAGCAGAGTGGACGGTGGTGACCCTACTGCCAACACCCAGAGCAAACAATTCCTGAACACTCATGCATGCCCAGCACATACTGAGCCCTTTACAGTCACTGGCCTATGCAGACCTCACAGCAATCCAATGGAGCTGGTACTCTCCCCACTGTACAACTGAGGACACTGAGGCACAGAGGGGTTATGCAGCCTGACCAAAGAAGAGCTGGGGAATGGGAAAGAAGAATCCAGCAGGGCAAGACAGGTGACAAAACAGGAGAGTGGCACCAGGCATCAGACCTAGTGTGTGGCAGGCCCATTCTGGGCAGTTCCCATAAATGCTCGGACCCCAAACACCCACTTGGGGTGGGTGGCATGGTTTCCTTCTTTACAGAGGAGGGCCTGAGGCACAGAAATATCAGGGGCTTGCTGCTGAGTGGCAGGGCCGAACGCAGGCCAAGGCCCCTGAGCCAAGCCCAGGGCTCTAACTGCCATGACACAGGGACAGGGGAAGGATTGGTAAGGCCCCGGCACCAGCCTACATACCTGAGAAGATCGAAGCGAGCCTGAAGATGTCCGAGAGGCGGGAGGTCACCGGCTCGTAGGGTGAGGCTTCGTAAAACTCCTCGCCTGGAAGAGAGAAGCGGGATAAGGCACAGACTCGTCCTTCCCCGGTGAAGAGTGCTAAGCCCGGCTGCGAATGCAATGCTGCACATTCCACGTGAACGAGTTGCTTCTCTCCAACTGGAGTGGAAGGTCCCCCAGAGCAGGTCAGAACTGCCCAGTGCTTCCCTCTCCTGACTTCCCGGCATGCCCAGCCCTCTTCCAAGGACTTCCAAATTCTTCAGGGGAGAAGGCACCAGGAGGTGGAATCTTGCCAGCCTATGGAAGGCCAGGTACAAATCACAGGGTTTGAAGCCAAAGGGCCCTCATTCAGTACAACTTCCTCAACTCCCAAGAGAGGGCTCTAAGGTGGCCCAGAGAGCTGAAGCAACCTGCCTGGGCTCGTACAGCTACTTGCAGCGCGCTAGCACCCACCAGCTGGTGTTCTCTCCCATCACACCAGGCCGGCTCTGCCCAGGCCACTTCACAGGACAGAATTTCCTCTCTGCTTTCCCCTCATGTCACCAGAAGGATCTGACAGGCTGGCCAAAGACGCGCTGGGCAGAGGCCCGACGCCCCCTCCCACCTGCCCGGCGCCCCCTCCAGCCTGCCCAGCTCCCAACTCCCGCACCCTCTGCCTGTCTTTCCCAGCACCTCTGGCCCCTCTTGAGGCTCCGGGGTGCAGCACAGGCCCGGTGAGTGGAAAAGCCAGGGAGTGACAGACATAAATGGCACAGGGTTGCACCCAGGGACCCACCACCACCCCATGGGAGTCCCACCCCCCTGCCAATGCCCCAACAGAAGAGGAAGTACCCTCTTGAGATGCCAGGGTGAGGAGCAATCAGAGGATATCACTCAGCCTACGTGTGAGTTAAGGAGTGGGGAGGAGACAGGTGATGACCCACAGCCTCACACAATGACTTCTCATCTACCCAGGGCCCAAGGCCACTGGCAGTCACCTCCTGCCTGAAGAGGAGCAGCAGAGGGGTGGCATCCATGGGGGCTGCCTGCAGGAAGCTGCCTGCCATCCATGAAAGGGGCCTGGAATCTGCCTGTAAGGGGCTCATTCAGCCAGGCCCATGACATCACCCAGAGGCCAGCACTCAAGGCTTAACCAGCCCTCTGCTAGTTCACAGAGCAAGGAGCTGCCTGCTGCACCTGACAGACCCCCCAGAAGACACAGAGGAAGTGCATTTCCCCTGGAGAAATGGCCCTTGCCCTTCACTCTGACCTCTTAGGAGTGTGCCTTTATGCCCTGCAAGCTCCAGCACACAGAGTGCCTTATGCACAGTGGGTGCCCAACTGGTATGTGCTCACTGACCTAATCTGAGCATTACTCGTTCTTTCAGGCCTGTCTCCAATCCCACCTTCCCCCTGGGGCCTGTATGACCTCAGCATCCTCCATTCTACCCACAGGCACTGAAGAAGCTCCCTGTGGGGGGGTTACCAGTCATTACTATTTGCTGGAACCAAATAATTTAGGAGCTTAAGAAGCACTCTCGTAGTAAAAATGATGGTATACTGAGCTTTCTAGGTACCAGCACCACTGGAAGCACTTTAGATATGCTGATCATTTAATCTGCTTCATTTCTCTATGAGGTAGGCGCTATTATTTTCCTTATTTTACTGATAAAGAACTGGGGTACAGAGACACTAAGTGACCTGCCCAAGGTCACACAGCTGCTAAGTGGCAGCAGTAGGTTTCCAACCCAGGCAAATCAGCTCCAGGGTCCACGTATTCAACCATCATGAATATTGTCTCCAAAGAGAAAAAGTTACTGAAACCAGACTGCTCTCAAACAAGTGCTACTGTGGTTTAACTTCTCCCAGTACTGGTCTTCTGCCAGCTGGACTGCTCCCCCAGAGCAGCACCTGCCACACCTGGCACAGCCATGCACCTGGGTAGGGATCGGGAGTCTGACCCGGGGATGGGGTATCTCTGGGAAAAACAGCCTCTTCAGGACTGGATGAGAAGGGACCATCCTATTTAAGTCAACTCATATCAACTGCTTCTGTGGCAGAATTCACCAATAGGAAATCTAAGACCTGGGCTACCACCTGGCACAGGACACATGGGAGAGGCTTTGATCTTCACTTCTGAGGGCCAGGAATGACCCTGACCTTCAATGTCACTCTTGAAAAGGCGAGAAGCCTGTTCTCATGTTCTCATGTCCCCCATGCAGCCAATAGCAATGGTCGGAGAGAGTAAATACAGGTGGCTATGGGAGTGGAGGTGCTGGCAGGGGAAGACAGCACCAAGGCCATGGTATCTGCCCCAGGGCAGGGGCAGTGTGAAGAGGGGCCTGGTAAGGAGTGAGGGTCCTTACCTGCTCCCACCACCAGCTTCCCATGCACTGGGAAGTTACCCTGCCCCCCTGCTCCTCAGCTTCCCATCAAATTTGGGGATGGGATCAAATTATCTCTAGGTCCTTTGCAGTTGGGACTGTGTAGGAGCTCAGTAGAGGCCACATTCCTGCCACTGCCAGCTCTGTCCACATGCAGAGGTCCTCAGGCAGACGGAGGGGGGTCGAGTCTCCAGGGGGATGGCACAACACCAGCAGCGAGGGCCAAAGAGAAGCCAGAATCTAAATCCAAACACAGAGATCTCTCCCCTCTCTGAGCTCCCCCCAGCCTGCCCCAGGCCCAAGCCAGGTTAATAAGTGTTATTAAGCAACAGGGAGGAAGTGCTTTCGGCCTCCCCCAGGGGACCACTCATCCCATACCTCAGATAATTAACTCTCAGGTAGCTCCTGTCACTCACAGGAACATTATCTGCTGCTTAAAGGCCTCCAGGCAGAAATTACCCTGGCCCCCAAGAGCAAAGGGAGGGACTGTGGGATCTCAAGGAGGTGGCATGTTTGGAGGGCAGGGTTCTGAGGAAAGGCTAAAAGTAGGGGGTCTGCTTCTCTAGAACAGGCCCAAGGGAAGGGACCGTGGCTTCTCAGGTGCTCTCACCCACTGAAGCACACAGTAGGTGCTTAACATATGTTTGCTGAATCAACAAAAAATTAACATTAGCATGTTTGTTGAACCAACAAAAAGCAACAAACCATCTCAAGACTGAGAAGCAAGCCTTCTGCGGTGGGGCATCCAGGTTGAGGGCCCTGGAAGACCCCACGGCAATGTGCAGCCTAAGCGCTCACAGCTGTGTCATCGGGGCATCGCCCCCGTGCCCAGCTTTGATCAGCAGGGTCCTTGGAGCTCTGATACAGGGAGACACTGAACAGGAAGCTTCTCGGGCAGCCCACCCAGCTCTTCCAGGGGGAAGTTCTGTCCACTCCCCCATCCATTCTGCAGCCCCCAGAGAATCCACCCCAAATGACTGCCCACTCCCTCTTGGGTTGAAACTGAAGCCTTCAGGAAAGAAAAGAAGCAACCCCACAACCCAGCTAGTTGAATCTGGGACCTTAATTTCCTGTGCACTAGAGTCAGCCCTGGGGTGAGGACCGCTCCTTGTCTCACCCCCCAGGAACAAGCACAGGCTTTTGGTGGCAGTTTGTGTCTCTTTACTCTAGTTGCTGGAAAAGGGACACGTGACCCCCTGATTCATAGGAATTACTTTGCTACTACTGGTCGTAGGAATTACTTTGCTACTACTGGTCGTGCTACTGTAAATGATATGGCTGGCTTGTCCCTGTGTTCAGGGCATTGAACCACCTCGGCCTCTGGGCAGGGTCAGCACATCCAGCCCCTCGTCTGCTCCCCCCAGTCTCCTCCTCCCCTCCAGCCCAGGGGAGGCCAGCTGCTGCTCATCCAAGGCTAGCCCCTCCCCTGTGCCTGGGCCCACTGCCCCTTCCCGGGAGCATCGACCCCTCTTCTTCACCCCAACACCTCCATCACTACTGTCCTACCTTAGAATCTAGACTGTTCAACCCTCTCACATCTTAAAAAAAAAATCAGCCTGGTTCTTCTCGTCTCTTCACACCAAAATTCTCTAAGTTGCTATCACTCCCAGCTCCAGCTCCCATTTGCTCCCAGCAGCCACCCAAGGGCAGCAGGGACTCTTTGCCAGCCCTGCCTCACTGGACCTAACGTATGGGAGGCCCTTGGCGCTCCTTCCTGCTGAGGGCAAGCTCCTGGAGTTTCCCGCTGTCCCCAGCCTCTCCTTGGTGGCCCAGCAGGCCCTCCTGCCTCCCCTACCCACCCTCAAATGCGGGTGGTCCCCGGGGCTCTGTCCCCATCCTTCTCCCAGTGCGATGCACCCACTCCCTTGGCCCCGTAAGCACATACAGGCTGAAGGCACCTCCTGAATCTCTATGTCCAGTCCCACTTCCTCAGCTATCTGCAGGAACAAAATAAAATAAACCCCCCAAAATCACCTCATCTCCCTACCTTCCTCCCGCCCCAAACTCCTGCTGCTTCTCAGGAACAGCCCCGGAACCCACCCGGCTGCCCAACACAAAAAGCTGGTGGCCTCCTTGGCTCCTCCCACCTTGCCAGGACCTCTGGACTCCACCTCCGACCCAGCTCTCAGGTCCTTCCTCCCTGCCACCACCCCACCCAGCCACCACGAGGCCTGACCCGTACCACCCAGGGGCCTCCTGCTTCTCCCAACCTCACTCTTCACTGGGCCACTTGAACATGAAACAGATGAACTTTTAAAACCTTAAGGGCTCCCCGGGCCCCCAGGTGGCATCTTCCCACCCCACTTCCAGCGTCCCCTCTGTGCCCGTCCGTAAGCCAGGCCAGCTCTCTCCCATGCAGGCCTCTCCTGAGCACCCCTCTACCTCCCACTCCTCCCGTGTCCCTCCACCATGCAACCGGCTCACTCTACAACCTCAGCTTAGAGGCTTCCTCTTCCAGGAAGGCTCCTGAGACTCGTAAGAGGGAGTTGGAGGCCCCTCTTTAGAACTACTGCAGCACCCAGCCCTATCTGACAGCCACTCACGGCACTGAATAGCAGAAAGCCCTCACTTCTCTGCACCCACCAAACCACAAGCTCCATGAAGGCAGAGGCTGCCCCAGCCTGGTCTTAACTGGTTCCACAATGCCTGGCAGATAATAAGCTCTCAACAGTTGTTGGATTAACAAATGAACATCTGACCCAGGAGGCCAACACTCCTCCGCACTCCAGTCCAGAGGGGAGGAAACAGGGGGAGCTGGTTGTTGTGGGGGAGCTTACAGGTTCTGCCCTGAGCCCTGGAGGCAGGCTTGCAGAGGACTGTGGGACCTGCTGCCTACATAGCACTCCAAGCCCGGAGGTGCCGAGGCCAGCCCCAGGGTCAGGAAGCCCTCGGAAGAGCAGGTGTCCCGGGTGCAGGGGTGCAGGGACAACTGATGGGACAGGCCAGCTCAGCACCAGGCACAGCGGAAAGGAGCACGGCCTGCCCACCTCTTCTCTGTTCTCACCTCTCCATCTGCCTGGGGTCTTGCCGCACCTTCTCTGCTACCATTTCCTACACCTGTCCTCCCATCCCTGGCTGCCCTCCTGCTTCCCCAGCCCTGCTCATCTCATCCCTCCACCTTTCCACCTTGTGTCTTCCTCAGCTGTGACCAGCCCCCTTCCTCTCCTCTCCTCTCCTCTCCTGGCCATCTCCAACAGCTGCCCTCCTAAGTCTATGGCATCTGCCTCTGTGTTCTAGGTTTTCCGGCAGGGGAGGGAGAGCTGGCCAGCTCACTGCAGCCCCAAGTCTGCCCTCTGCCCCTCGGTAGGCCCCCCACCACACCCCGGCAGGCTTACCCTCCGTCAGCCCCAGGTGGATGCTCCAGTAGGTCTGCAGGCACTGCAGCTCCCTCTTCATGCCCCGCTTGCAGCGGCAGTCATACAGCGGGCTCTCCTGCAGGACCTCCAGGGCCGCCTGGCACTCCTTGTTGGCCAGCATGGTGTTGCGGTCGCGGCCCGCCAGGCACTGGCGCAGCGTGCGGTAGCGGGAGCTGCAATTGGACTCTGCTGCACACAGCTCATTGGCCCGGACGCAGTCCACCGGGGGGCGCCAGCCGTGAAGCTCGGGGCCCTGCAGGGAGGAAGGGCTGGCCAAAGAGCGGAGGGTCTCGTCTGGGTGGTCCATTCTGCAGCCCCCAGAGAATCCACCCCAAATGACTGCCCACTCCCTCTTGGGTTGAAACTGAAGCCTTCAGGAAAGAAAAGAAGCAACCCCACAACCCAGCTAGTTGAATCTGGGACCTTAATTTCCTGTGCACTAGAGTCAGCCCTGGGGTGAGGACCGCTTCTTGTCTCACCCCCCAGGAACAAGCACAGGCTTTTGGTGGCAGTTTGTGTCTCTTTACTCTAGTTGCTGGAAAAGGGACACGTGACCCCCTGATTCATAGGAATTACTTTGCTACTACTGGTCGTAGGAATTACTTTGCTACTACTGGTCGTGCTACTGTAAATGATATGGCTGGCTTGTCCCTGTGTTCAGGGCATTGAACCACCTCGGCCTCTGGGCAGGGTCAGCACATCCAGCCCCTCGTCTGCTCCCCCCAGTCTCCTCCTCCCCTCCAGCCCAGGGGAGGCCAGCTGCTGCTCATCCAAGGCTAGCCCCTCCCCTGTGCCTGGGCCCACTGCCCCTTCCCGGGAGCATCGACCCCTCTTCTTCACCCCAACACCTCCATCACTACTGTCCTACCTTAGAATCTAGACTGTTCAACCCTCTCACATCTTAAAAAAAAAATCAGCCTGGTTCTTCTCGTCTCTTCACACCAAAATTCTCTAAGTTGCTATCACTCCCAGCTCCAGCTCCCATTTGCTCCCAGCAGCCACCCAAGGGCAGCAGGGACTCTTTGCCAGCCCTGCCTCACTGGACCTAACGTATGGGAGGCCCTTGGCGCTCCTTCCTGCTGAGGGCAAGCTCCTGGAGTTTCCCGCTGTCCCCAGCCTCTCCTTGGTGGCCCAGCAGGCCCTCCTGCCTCCCCTACCCACCCTCAAATGCGGGTGGTCCCCGGGGCTCTGTCCCCATCCTTCTCCCAGTGCGATGCACCCACTCCCTTGGCCCCGTAAGCACATACAGGCTGAAGGCACCTCCTGAATCTCTATGTCCAGTCCCACTTCCTCAGCTATCTGCAGGAACAAAATAAAATAAACCCCCCAAAATCACCTCATCTCCCTACCTTCCTCCCGCCCCAAACTCCTGCTGCTTCTCAGGAACAGCCCCGGAACCCACCCGGCTGCCCAACACAAAAAGCTGGTGGCCTCCTTGGCTCCTCCCACCTTGCCAGGACCTCTGGACTCCACCTCCGACCCAGCTCTCAGGTCCTTCCTCCCTGCCACCACCCCACCCAGCCACCACGAGGCCTGACCCGTACCACCCAGGGGCCTCCTGCTTCTCCCAACCTCACTCTTCACTGGGCCACTTGAACATGAAACAGATGAACTTTTAAAACCTTAAGGGCTCCCCGGGCCCCCAGGTGGCATCTTCCCACCCCACTTCCAGCGTCCCCTCTGTGCCCGTCCGTAAGCCAGGCCAGCTCTCTCCCATGCAGGCCTCTCCTGAGCACCCCTCTACCTCCCACTCCTCCCGTGTCCCTCCACCATGCAACCGGCTCACTCTACAACCTCAGCTTAGAGGCTTCCTCTTCCAGGAAGGCTCCTGAGACTCGTAAGAGGGAGTTGGAGGCCCCTCTTTAGAACTACTGCAGCACCCAGCCCTATCTGACAGCCACTCACGGCACTGAATAGCAGAAAGCCCTCACTTCTCTGCACCCACCAAACCACAAGCTCCATGAAGGCAGAGGCTGCCCCAGCCTGGTCTTAACTGGTTCCACAATGCCTGGCAGATAATAAGCTCTCAACAGTTGTTGGATTAACAAATGAACATCTGACCCAGGAGGCCAACACTCCTCCGCACTCCAGTCCAGAGGGGAGGAAACAGGGGGAGCTGGTTGTTGTGGGGGAGCTTACAGGTTCTGCCCTGAGCCCTGGAGGCAGGCTTGCAGAGGACTGTGGGACCTGCTGCCTACATAGCACTCCAAGCCCGGAGGTGCCGAGGCCAGCCCCAGGGTCAGGAAGCCCTCGGAAGAGCAGGTGTCCCGGGTGCAGGGGTGCAGGGACAACTGATGGGACAGGCCAGCTCAGCACCAGGCACAGCGGAAAGGAGCACGGCCTGCCCACCTCTTCTCTGTTCTCACCTCTCCATCTGCCTGGGGTCTTGCCGCACCTTCTCTGCTACCATTTCCTACACCTGTCCTCCCATCCCTGGCTGCCCTCCTGCTTCCCCAGCCCTGCTCATCTCATCCCTCCACCTTTCCACCTTGTGTCTTCCTCAGCTGTGACCAGCCCCCTTCCTCTCCTCTCCTCTCCTCTCCTGGCCATCTCCAACAGCTGCCCTCCTAAGTCTGTGGCATCTGCCTCTGTGTTCTAGGTTTTCCGGCAGGGGAGGGAGAGCTGGCCAGCTCACTGCAGCCCCAAGTCTGCCCTCTGCCCCTCGGTAGGCCCCCCACCACACCCCGGCAGGCTTACCCTCCGTCAGCCCCAGGTGGATGCTCCAGTAGGTCTGCAGGCACTGCAGCTCCCTCTTCATGCCCCGCTTGCAGCGGCAGTCATACAGCGGGCTCTCCTGCAGGACCTCCAGGGCCGCCTGGCACTCCTTGTTGGCCAGCATGGTGTTGCGGTCGCGGCCCGCCAGGCACTGGCGCAGCGTGCGGTAGCGGGAGCTGCAATTGGACTCTGCTGCACACAGCTCATTGGCCCGGACGCAGTCCACCGGGGGGCGCCAGCCGTGAAGCTCGGGGCCCTGCAGGGAGGAAGGGCTGGCCAAAGAGCGGAGGGTCTCGTCTGGGTGGTGGGGAGGGAAGACAAGCATGAATGAGGGCCGCCACAATCTCCAACCCCAGACACAGGCCTGCGGGCACCGGCCCTTCTGAGAATGTCACACCCATTTTACTCCAAAGCACATCAAGGCCAACTCAATGCTGCCTTGCCCGACAGTCAGAGGAAGAGCTGTTAGGGATCCCAAGACACCAACATTCCTGCTCAAACCCCAAGGAGAACTCAAGCTGTCATTCTGCCCTGGCTCTACCACATTCTCTTGGGATCACACCCCATGACCATCAGCACCCCTCCAAGGCCCAGGAGCACGGCACTGCGAAGCCAGGAGGCCCTCAAGCATGACTACAGACAACCTAAGATGCCAGCAGACTAGAGAAGAATGCCACAGCCTCAGCAGAGAGCTGGGGGCTGCGGGGCCTGCTGGGGACTATAAAGGGCACTTCCTGCTTTCAATCTACCCAGGCCTCCTGCCAACCTCAGGTCAGGCCAGAGGTCCAGCCAAGGCACTGGGTTAAGGAATGAAAGCAGAAAGGAGTTTAAAGTTCCAAGTCTGTTAAGACCTTAGAGACCACAAAGTCCAGCCCCTACATTTCACCCTGGGGAAATTGAGCCCCGAAGGGAGGGAAGATGGGAGCCCCGAAGAAGGGAGATGACAACTCAAGGTCCTCACATTCACACACACAGGGCTGAAAGGCCTTTCAGACCCCTAGCTTAGTCATTCTAAGTTCCTGGAGGGCCTGAAGAGACAAGTCTGACCCCACGGTCTGATGTGTGCCCAGGGGAGGAACTACCCCTTTCCCGCCCAGCCCCCCACACCTTCCAGTCCACTGCACACCAGCCAGAGACTTGGAGACATGCCTGACATGGACCAATTCTGCCCCAGCCCCATCGAAGATTCTGTAGGCAAGCCTGGTAGGCCACCCCACTTCCTGTCTCTTCTCTCTCCAATGCACTTTGCCCCTGTTTCTTCATCTCTCTCACTTCTCTTGCTGATTTCTTCCTAAAAAGTCTATTTCTCCATCACCCTCTCTCTTTGAATAGCTGTGTGTTCTCTCCCTCTCTCTCAACTATTTCCTTTTCTCTTTCCTCTCCTCTTACCTTTCCCTGAAACCCTCTCCCTGTGTCCCTTCCTTTTTGTTCTTCTCTCCAAAAGTGAAATAGTATGTTGCAAAGGGGAAAAAGAGCTTCCCACCTTGACCCCTGGCCTGGCACTTCAAACGTGAACAAGCAGGACCAGGTGCACCTTCTCACCCATTCCCACCAGAGTCCAAACCCCTCAGATGGGAGGTGAAGGGCAGGGAGAGACCCACTCACTCGGCCCTTTTAAAGTCAAGTCCCCAAGACAGTTTACTCTAGACGTAGACATCTTCCCAGTCCCTCTGCACTCTCCAGGCCCCTCAATCCAGATCCTGCCCCAGTAAAAGCCCACACCATAGCCCTGAGCCAAGACAGCTTTTTCCAAGACTCAAGGAGGGAACTTGGAGTTTTCCTCCACTCTCTCCTGCCCCAAAACATAGTAAGATCCTAGGCTGTTCCCCTCCTAAGAAACCGGCAGAATCTCCCCATCTGTACCCAGAACCACCACTTCTCACTCCCCTGAGGAGCCACGCTCAGGGGGGAGCTACTGCAGGGAGACAGCGACACCTAGAGGCAGAGCCCTGCACAGCAAACGCATCACTCCTCACTGGGCAATGGAGGAAGGGGTTCTCTTTGGAGGGAGGGACAGGCCTACCCTACACAGAGATGAAGAAGAGGGGCAGAGACTGAGCCTGGAGTGGAGAAGGCCTCAGGAGCCAGAGCAAAAGATACCCCTTCAGCATCAAAATATTGACCATACCTCTGCATCTGAACAAGACGAGCTAAAGGCTGTGGGCCAGCTTACACAAGACTAGAGCAAAATGGACAGTGGGGAATCTGCCCAGGCACCGGCTGAAGAGGTGTCCTCTGCCAAGTCAAGGCAGCAGCTTAACTTCTTGGCTTCATTGGATTCCTAGATCCCTGAGCATGCAGTTGGGTGTATCTGGGCCTCCCAGGAACAGCTGAGCTAACCTGGCCTCACCTGCACCTGCTGCTCCCACCTACCCAGCCAGCCAGGCAGTCTGCTGAAGCCTCAGGGAGGGCGCAGTCCTGGGACACCAGCAGGCTTCTCCCCTACCGCTGTGACTGCCTGAAGCTGTACTGTCAGAGGCAGACAGACAGAGGCTTAAAGGTCGGGACACTAGCCTAGAAGATTGGGGTAGTAAGGACACTGACTCTGCCTGCCCTACAGGTGGGATCTACAGCCCCAAGGGACAATCCTTACAGAATCCTGGGCTTTGTGCCAAAGCAAGAGCTTCCCCCACCCGCCAGCTGGCCCATGTGCCTGGAGCAGAGAGATGTTCTGAAGAGGGCCAGTCCATCCTCTCGCCAGACTCCCTGACTGCCACCTCTCCCTGACTCTTGTAGTTGGTGTCATGACCCCCAGAACCAGTCAAGCCCAGCCAGAGAAAGAAACCATGGTAACTTGGGGCCTTTGGGCCACGTATTCTAGTAAAAGTCAGAAGGTATTGGGTGATGCTTCCAAGTTTTAGGTGGAAAGAAAACTCAGGTCCATCAGGAAAAGACATGCGGAGCAGCTTCTAGAGGTACAGGGGGACTGAGAGACCATAAAGAGATACAACCACCCTCCTGCATCCATGTCCCCACAGTGGCCAGAATGTGCCCTAGGATGCCAGTGGAAAGCAGGCCCTCTGACCAGCCCCACTTCATTCCCTCTCAGGCATGTCAACACTGGAGGTTGGGATGGCTGGGCCAGAAAGGCATCTCTGCCCCAAACCTCGCTCAGAACCCTGGAAGCAGCACGCTGACCACCTTCCCCTGAGAACACACACCATGCCCCCCCGCCCCCACTGAAACTGCCCACTCAGTCTCAAGCTCCAGAAAAGCCCCTCCCCCAAGTGAGACTTTCAACTCCTAAATGTGGGCTCCTTGCCAGGAAAGGGACCCAAGGGCTGAACCTCTATTTCTTCCTCCTTGCTGGCCTAACCCAGAGCCTTTCATGTCCTGAGGTCATTCAGCCCCTCGCCCCAGCTTTGGAAAGGTGCTTCTTAAGGGAAGGGAACTGAAGGGCTCTGACCAAGGGGCTAGTGACCCCCACTCCTCTCCTGCTCTCACCCTTCCTCTCTCCACTCAGCCCCCAGGGTCACAGACACCAGTGCAGGCATCTCTGGGCCAGGCACATGCACACTCTCTCACACACACACCTGCACCATGAGAACACAGTCATCTCCTTAAACCAGCCTGCAACATGGGGGTCCAGGCCTGCAGGTGACTGTGGGGCCCATAGTGCTCCCATGACCTTCCCCAGGACCTCAAAAGGTGCCCACACCTCAGAGCCATGCAGCCTGGGGTATATGCAGCTCAGCAGCCAATAATCTGGCTGCTTTTCCTGAAATACCATTTCCTTTTCTACTTGGACCTGTTCATTCTTGGCCCCAAAAAGCTGAGTTTTCAAACCAGCAGTGGGAAAAAAGGTCAGGTTTTACATTAGCCCCTTCAGAATGTGTGTCCCCTTGCAGAGGATTCCAGGGAGGGCTGCAGGGTCACTGTGGGCCCAGAGCACTAACCCAGCTTCCTTCCCCAGCCCCTCCCAACCGGAGAGAAACTGCCTCTGGCTTAGCGGGACTGGACACTAAAGGCCACACCCTAGAGCAGGGCCATGCCCCAGGGGAACTCATGCCTAGGGGAGAAGGAAAGAGAGGATGGACAAGGACCTGACCCACGCTGACTCCAGTCCCCTGTCCAAGTCAGGAGAACACTTCATAGACCACCCACGTCTTATTGTGATCAGCACCAGGCCTTCCCCTATCCCCTCCTCCAGGAGGCAAAGGGTGCTCTTAAGACCCCAGCTGGGCAGCCTGCTTCACAGCTGCCTACCCAGCAGGCCAGGGTGTCAGGGACAGCTCCCCCACCGAAGCAGAGGTGTGCTCCCTCAACATCAATGCCAGGCTCTCTGTCTGGAGCATCTACTCCCAGGGATGCACACTTGCCTGGGACTGCTGGTCAGCACCCAGCCTGGCAAACATCCTCTTTCTCTCCTCTTCTCCCAGAATGCTCTCTCCATAGCCATTTCCTAAGCAGCTGAGACTTCATATCACATAAAAGGGGCAGAGGGCTGGGAATTCTGGGTGGGAAGAGACTGCCAAGGTTCAGTGACCAGGCAGCCCCTCCTCCCTGCCCTTGGGGGAGGGGGCTTACAGAAGGAGCAGGGGTCTTTGTTCAGATCCTTTTTTCCCCTTACCCCTCTCCCTCTTCTCCCAAGGAAGCAAACTTTGGCCTTCCTCCCTTTCTTTCTTCCAGCTACAGGGTCCATAGCCCCCCAGAGGGGATGAAGGCAAGGCAGTGAAGGTTGCTCCCAACCTTCTACGCTCGCCCACGCATCTGGCTTGGGTCTGGACGGATGGGAGGGCAAAGGGTGGGAAGAAACTTGCAAAGTGTTCCAGGGAATGGAGCCACTAGGAAGGGGTTCAAGGAGTGGGAAGCGGGATGCATTTCCCAGAAGGTGACTGGCGGGTGCGCGGATGGCTGCCGCGCTCCCCCAAGAGATGCCCGAGCTGGAGGTCCTGGTTCAGAAGCCCGTGCCTCCCCTACGACCCACTCAGAGGCCAGAAAGGTGGGCCCGGCACGATTTTTCTCTCCCCGACACGGAGCCTCTCCCCTTCCTCCTTTATTGGAGACCAAGAGTTGGATTTTTTTTTTCTTAAGTTGCCGCAATTTGAACCCATTATTTGGGGGGAAGTGAGTGTCACCACTGTGTCTGTGAGCGTGTGCGGGACCGTCTCGGTGTTCTATACCCTTCCGAGCCCCCGCGCACCCAGCAGCTCCGACCGCGTCCCTGCGCCCGCAGCCTCGCCGCCCGGCCCGCTCGAATTGGCAGCCCCGGCCCCGGTTCGCTCCCCCTCGGGTCTCCCCGCCTGTCTCCCGCCGGCGCCCTCCCGCTGCCCGCGTTCCCAGCCTCTCGCCGGCGCCGAGCGCGCGGCACCGCGCGGCCCCCGGGCTCCCGCGGAACAGCTGCCCTGCCGCCCGCAGGTACTCACCTAAAAAGAAGAGGATGCAGAAGGCGTTTGTCAAGATCATGTTAAATAAATCCCACAGTTTTTGTGTCTCTCTCCCTTGGGTAAAAACAATAACAACAATAATAATAGCCCAGCAGCGACAATCAGTCCCGAATCCAATGCGGAGAGCACAGCGAGTGCGCCCGAGGAATATCCTGAGTCCGGTGATCCTCGCCTCCGGCTGGAGGGGGTGGGGGCGGGGGGCGGCGGGCTGCCTCTCAACGCCCCCCGTGCCCACCAGAATCCAATGCACACGTACGTGTGTGGATCTGCCGTATACGCCGACAGCCGTCCCAGGTCAGCCCTGCCCTCGCTGGTCCGGGAGCGCGCGGGTCCCCGCGGGTCCAATTCCCCTGCGCTTCCCAGGAGGGGCCCTGGGGAGGTGAGCGCGGCGATTGGAGAGTGCAGGGCTGGAAGGAAGCGGCGAGGGTGGGGCTCAGAATGAACCGCGAGGAGGAAAGAAATCCACCGACGGGTGTCAGCGCCAAAGAACCATCCAGTGGGAGCTCCGAGGACGAGACCCGAGTCGCTTCTTTCGCACCAAGACGAAGAAAAGATTCAAAACACCTTCTCCCGCTAACCCTGGCTCCTCTCACTTTTCCCAATGGAAGCCCAGGGGGCCGTGGGTCCCCGCGCGCGTCTGGCTCTCTCCCTCGCTCAGCGCCCTCTCTCTGGCTCGCGCTCTTTGCTCTCGCCCTCCCCGCGCTCCGCTCCCCTCCCCCTCTTCCCCTCCCGCTCCTCCCTCCGCCCGCCCCTTCCCCCGGCTCGGCTCCCTCGCCGCGGCTCGCGCCCGCGCGCCCCTCTCCTCCGCCCGGGGCTCGGCGCTCCGGCTCCCAGGCGGCTGGCGGCGCGGGGCGCGGGAGCGCGGAGGAGCAGCGACTCTCTGCAGCGGCAGTGGCGACACGGTGGTGGCGGTGGCGCCGGAAACGCCCGCCGGCAGGAGAGCTCCGCCGCTGGCTCCCCCTGCTCTGCTCTGCCGCCCGCCCTTCCAAGGACCGACCTGCTGCCTGGGCCGGAAACTGACCAGCTCCCCCGGCTCCCCGGGTTCCCCGGCTCCGGCTCAGACCCACCAGAGCCTCCGCACCCTGCTCCTCCCTGCGCGGCGCGCCGCCGTCCCCCACGCCGCGTGCCAGCTGCACCCTCCAAACCCCTGCCCCAGTCCCCCGGGCCACCGTGTCCCAGAGGCCTGGAAGGCTCAGCTGAGGCCCGAGGGCGTGGAGTCCCGGGAGCCCGAGCCAGCCCGAGGCGTGGGGAAGGGGCGTTAGGAAGCCCGGACGTGGGAGTCTGGGGAAGGGGCTCCACCCTCCGCGGGCGGGGGCGTTCTTGAGCCCGGGAGCCGCAGACGGGCAGAGCTTCTTCCCGAAGCCGCGAGGGAAGAAGGACCCCTCCATCGCCAGCCCCCAGCGTCCCCGTGCAGCCTGCTGGCCTGGGTCTACCCCTCGCACGCAGACGTGTGTGCACTGCACGCGGGGCTCGAGAACTTTCCCCGCAAGCCCGGGGCGCCCTCACCCCACGCTCGCCCCACGTCGCAGCCTTTCGCGACTCCCTTTGCGAGCTGGTCAACCCTCCCCGGCGCGGGAAGAGGGCCGCGGGGCCGGACGCCCTGACCGCCTCCTGCGAGGCCGGCGAACATGTCCGGATTGCGCCGAGGGTGGAGGCGAGAGCTCGCGCTCCACCCCGGTGGAGCCGCCCCGAGACCACCCGGGCCGGGGCTCCGCTCCATTCTGCGCGACCCGAGCGCGACGGCGGGCTGGGCTCCGAGCTGCTCTCCCCAGGCAGCTGACAGCTCCCCGCTGCCGAGCCCCCAGCCGGGAAGGGGGCGACTGATCCATCTGTCGATGGGCCGGGCCCACCGGCGTGCTTTAGTCACGGAATTCACAGTAAACGCCCAGAAACACCAAAAAGGAAGCTTCTCACTGGGAAACGACTGAAGGAGAGGTGAGGTTGCTGACGTTGGGGCAAGAGGGGGCGAGGCGGCGGGGCTGTGAACACGCAAGGGCACACGCCCACGACGCCGGGCACCCCAGCATCACGCCCCCTCCAGACACAGCCTCACCCGCGTCCTCGGCTTCCGTGCGCACCCCGCTCGCTGGAGTGGGGTCCCCGCAGCTCCTCGTAAACTTTCCGCGCTACCCAAAACCGAATCCGTGCTGGAGCTAAGGTGTGTTTGGTAGTGCCTTTAAGGTGTATTTTTAAATGAACAATACTCTGGAAAAGAGTAAATGCCAGAAAATCGATCCGAGCGCGCGAAGGGAGGGGTCACTCCGAAAACTAGCCTTCGCTAGTGGGAAAGCTAGAGGGAGCGACTTCCATCTTGCGGATTCAGGCGGGAACGCGGCTTCTCCGGCCTTGGAAGCGCAGGGCAGGCGTCTCCTCTGAACGCATCTGCCGTCTGAACGCACCATCCTGGTGCGCTGGCCCTCGCTGCATCCTCTCTCTGGCCTTTGCGTGGTGCCGCTAGAGGCACGGGCCCTTGCCAGTTAGTGTTGTCAGAGGAAAGCCTCCAGGCTGCCCTCCCTGTCCTTCCTCTGGGCCTCTCCAGGTCTAGAAAATGACTTCACATCTGACAAGGGACCCTGGCTTCCCTCCAAAAATTGGGGGACTTAAGAAACCAGCTTCAGAAAAGTGTCAATGAAAGGGGACAATTGATAGGAATTACACTGTCGGTTGCCCAGACACCCTCCACCCCTCCACCCTCCACATGTGGGTACCTGATTGGCTCTTCCCTCTTCCAAGGGCCCCACCCCAACTTCCAGAATTACTACTTAGCAAATCCCTCTTCCTTCTCCAAAAATTGTTTAAACTTTCATTTAACCCTGGCTGGACATGAGACAGAAAACAAACATACATGGGCGCTCTTCCTGCCCCTTCCTAGTGAAGGGGCCAGGAAAGCAGAACGTGACCCCCCCGTGATGGCTCCCACTGACTTCCCACGGTGTGGGGAGGGGGCTCTGGTAGCAGGACATGAGTGGCTAAGGCCCTTCAAGGACTTAGGGTCACCCAGCCTTACAAGGACAGTGGACAACACCAGCCAGACCAATATCTGGCATGTGGTGGCTGTGGGTGGGCACCCTCCCGTGGGCACCCTCCCTCCTGTCTATCCAGGCCCACCACTGTCTGTGAACCCCAGCCCTCAACCTGAGCTGCCCTTAAATATGGCAGAGACCAAGTGTCACACCATTATTTCCTGAGCATCTGCTATGTGCAAGGTACCCCTGTGCCAGGATCTGCAGAGGAAACACAGATGAATATGCACTGGCCATAGGCAGTTTAATTTTTCTGAACCTGTTTTCTCCTCTATAAAATGGGTATATATATATTTTTTTAATCCAGCCTTGTAGAGATTAGATGTACTATACACAAAAAGAGCTAGTCAAATACCTGGTTCATAGGAAGTTGTTCATAAAATGTCACCCCTTTCCTCTGGGTCCAGAAGAATTGGAAACCTATGACAAGGCATAAAACATAAGTGGAAAATGAGAGGCAGACGTAAAGGTCTACAGGGACCCAAGGGAAACAGAGATGACTTTGTGGAGGATCAAGGATAGGGGATCTTGCGAGAAAGAGTCAAAGGAGAAAGGTGCAAACAGAAGCCCTTGTGTACACTGATGCTCTCTCACACGCCCTCAGGTACTGTGTCCTCCAGACTGCCTGCAAGGGCCCGTCCACGGCTCCTGAGCCCACCAGCAGAGGAGACTCCAGCCCACCAAAGACGCCCCCTCCTCAGCACAGATCCAGGAGGTACAGCGTGCAGGGGAGGGAAAGAGCACAAGCCTGTTGGTTTCCTCCCTTCTTGCGCCTCTCCCTGCCTGCTCGCCTCACGGAGGGCATTCTCTGGAGGGCAAGAGTGGTAGAGGCAGAGAGAGGGAGAAAGGACCAGTGGAAGGGGGCAAGTGGCCACCCCACTGCAGTATACGTGTGAACATGCACACACACACACACACACATTGGTCACAGAGCTCAACTGACCACATTTGTTCTGCCCCCAGCACAATCTCATCTCTTTTTTCCTTTGGAGGTAGGTGGAAGATGGGGTTCCCTTGCCCTGGAGATAAAAACCAACCAGAATTCAAAGAAAAAGACAGGGCCAGCTAAGACATGTTGAGAACCACAGGCTAGCAAGCAGAGGTGCTCTCAGCCATGGGACAGCAGCTGGCCAGGGGCCTCCCACTATCAATCAGCACAAACCTATTGGAACCCTTCTTTGGGCCCAACACAGTGCCGAGAGCCATGGGGAAGACGGCCCTGGGCAGGACCGCCCCTGCCATGGAATCATCTGCAGATGGAGTTAGCCATACCCGTGAGAAGTGTGGCAACGCACAAGGGCCAAGGGAGAGAAAGGAAATAGGACTGCCCGACTTCAGGACTTGCAGGGAGGTAGGATCTAAGCTGGACCTGGGAAGATGGGTTGAATTTGGCTAAAAAGGGCACTGGGGAAGGGGGCAGAGAGTAGGCAAAAGCACAGTGGTAAGAAAACTTGGAGAAACAGCCCACGAGTTGGAAGGAGGGTACCAGGAGCACAGGAGGGAGTGGCCAGTGGGAGGAGATCCAAAGGCATGATTGGGAGGCACAGTGGAGGCCCAAGTATTGAAGGCTCGGACTTGCTTCCCTGGGAGCTACTGAAGGTTTCGGAGCAGGTGAGTGATATAACAGGAGTGGAGCTTTCGTAAGATTGCTCTGACACCTCTGTGAAGGATGGAAACAAGATAAGTCAGGAGGCAATGTTAACAGTCTTGGCCCGAGGTCATGAGGGCCCAAAGCAGGAAGAGGCGGTAGTGAGTAGAGGCAGGAAGAGTGTTGGGCATGGAGAGCTGGTGGCAGGTATGGACAGGAAGAGGGGGGTGGGCATGGAGAGCAGGTGGCAGGTATGGACAGGAAGAGGGGGTGGGCATGGACAGGAAGTAGTCATTGTCAGAGGCATTTAAAGAGGAGTCGGAAAGATGTTGGTGATGGAATCAACACAGGGCACAGGAAGGAGGAAAATGCCTTTTACTCAGATAGTAGCCAGGCCAGGGAAAGTAACCAGCCCTGACTTCTCAGGCTTTGTCCTTAGAAAGAATAATTGAAGAAGCCAATTGTATGGTAAGATACATATTGATAGTCCTTTAATTCTTAACAATAATTCTATGCAGTAGGTACTGTAAATCACTCTTTACAAATGAGAAAACTGAGGCCGGAACATCGTATTTTAAGTGACAGAACCAGGATTTGGACTCTGAAAGCTGGGATGCAGGGTAACTCTGTAACCTCTGTGCCCAAAATAAATAAGCACTATGACAGCTCCCCAGGCTGAACATTTTCCTGTCCTGATTCAGAACGTCTTAAATACTCCATTTCTCCATCCAGCAACAGTGTGAAGCACTCATGAGAATGAAATTTCTCTTGCACCTTTCCTACGGGTTTTATCTGGCTAATCCTTGGAATCCAAGTCTAGAGCCTAGAAAGGATCCTGTCTAGCCCGGTGCCCAGCTCACCCATGGGCTTTCCTAGCCCTGTTCCAGCCCTGCCTCCCTCCTCATGGCAGGCTGAACCCCTCACCAACCTTCCCTCCCACCAGAATATGCCAGATCTCTGAGGCTCAGCCTGGCCAGAGTGAACTAGTCTGGGAATCGAGACCAGCAGGGATTTAGCTAAACCATCTGATTCCCAAAGAGTGAACAGGGCTGCTGGGCAGAGTGGGTGGGCCAGCCTGGGAGGGAAGAAATACTCACTGCACTCAGGGGCATTGATTTCTCTAATCGACTTCAGTCAATGTTCCCGGGCTTCATCATTCTCTTTAGAGGTAGGTACCGGCAGGAGGTGGGAATCTGGCTTCACTTAGCCTCTCCCCAGGGCCTCAGAGAACCTCTCTGCAGCCCCACCCATGCCAGGGAGGCCCTAAGCCCCAGGATATCCCGTTAGATGGGGAGCACGCTGCTGCAGCAGGATGCAGGGATGGAGCTGGGGAGTTACTCCAGCAGGAAGCTTTCAGGACCTTTTGTGGATTTAGCACCCCAGAGTTTCATAACTTTTTCCTCCATCCCAAAGCCCTGACAGCATTCCTGGGAAGAAGGCATGGTGGATTCAGCTTCCCTTCCAAGTGAACAAACGCAGGCTTGAAGATGGCCCGTGCCATGGCCAAGGCCACAGCTGAGCCAACAAGAGGCAGAGACAGGACTCCAAAGCAGATCCTCGCACACCCTGGTCTGGTGACATGGCAGCAAGCATCCATCTGCCAGCCATGGTGGCAGGCCTCTCCTCTGCTTCCTCCCACCTAGGGGAGCCCAGAGGAGAGGGAGAAGGCACCCACAGCTTTTGGCACTATCTGTGTTTATTAATCCAGGCCTGGTAAGGGCTGTGTCCCTTGAACTCATCTTCCTCTAGAGGTAGCAGATGTCCTGAGAAAAGTGTGAAGCCCCCTTCTTCCCCTGCCCCCCCCCACAGGACTCCCCAGTGGCAGCAGGAACTGAGCTGGTAACCGGCCCTTCTGGTGAGCTACTGTTGGCTTAAAATATCGCAGCTGGCTGTCAAGCCTCCTCCCCGCTGGCCCTAACTACACTGCACTCTCGGTGTTGGCATCGTCGTGACCACGCCCCAGTGTTGTCCTGGTGCCAGCATGGCCCTTGGCAGACCCCAGCTGCCTGGAACAACCCTGCAGCCTCTCTCCCGAGCATGGGACAGCAGCCCACCCCAGCTCTCAGGCTCTGGCAATCGGCCAGGTTATCCAATGTCAGAGGCAGAAACCAAGGGAGAAGGGCAGTGACTGCTTCTGCCAAGCTGTCGGGAGCTGGCTCCTGCTGCCTGGAGCCCCCCAGGAGAGCTCTCAGCCCCAGCAGCTCCCCGCAGGGACCATGTCTTTATTTAGCCAAGCCTGCAAGGTGGGTGGAGCACCAAAGCTAGGTCTGAGATGGACTGTCACTTGAAGGGCCCAGCTCTGCCTCCAGGGCCTGGAGGGCAACTCACTAGAGGCATTTTCTGGACATAAAATGAAGACAAGAGTGTCCTTCCCTGAGCAGACATGCCTTCCCTGGGCCCAACCTAGAGTTCGGCCTTCATGCCTACCTCTCTCTTTGCATCCTCTGTCCTGGGAACTTCTCCCATCATCCAGAATGTCCTCTCCTTAACCCCACTGACACTGTGCACTAGTGCTTTGTTGCTATCCTGTCCCTCTTGCCCAAGTAGGAAACTAGGAAATGAGGCTGCTCCCAGGGGCAGGGCAATGTTTAACCCAAAAGAATGAATTGCTAATGGTAGAATTTCAGTGACCATCAGCCTCAGGCTCTCAGGGTTGGAAGGAAACTCTGACAACAACAATAATAAACTGCCCACAAGTGCATAGCACCCAACAACTTGCAAAGCTTTTTCTATAAATTTGTCTCCCTTATGCCTCCCAAACAGCCTTTGAAGTGGGCATTTTTCAGATGAGAAAAATCTTAAAGGCATCAAGTGACTGGTCCATGGTCATAGTCCGTGAGGCACTGACCTAGGACTAGGAACCCATTCTAACTGATTCCAGAGTCCCTATTTGGGATATGGCTTTTGCATAAACACTTCAGTAAAATAAAATAAAAATAAAATATTTTTTAATTATGAAAACTAAGACAATTTCACAGAAACACTTCCTGTGCCAGGATGCTTGGTCCTCCGGGGACCTCAGTTCCCCGGTCCCAGAGAGCTTGGATAATTGAGGCCTTCTTCCTTCTGCCAGGCTAGAGTTTGCCTCCCCAGACTCCCGTGCCCACAAGGATGGGAAGTGTAGGGAAGTGTCCAGGAGTCCTGCAGACCGCCTGTGCCCATGGACAGCCACCACCCACCCCTCTCCCTGGTGCAGGTCTGCTGTCACAGAGGCTGCCCCGTGAAAACCACGACGTATGGTTCCTACCTCCTACTCCCCAGCCCAGGTCACCCCAGGGAAGAAGTCATCACACCCACCAAGCAGGCTCCAGGGCGGGCCACTCGCAGGGGTCCAGGCACCTGCTGCCTCCCTACTCCAAAGGTGAGTGAGTCCCTGCTCCCTGGAGGGGGTGCTGGTGCCCTAGAGGGTCTTCCCTGCTGAGAGCACTGAGAGCTTCAGGAGTCGGCAAACTTTCCAGCCCTGGGAGAGTCCCATCGCTCCATATTCTTGCTGCCTGGCTCCTGGGACAACAGCCCAACAAGCAAGTGTGGCATTGTGGGAAGAGGCCCAGACTAGGGTTCGAGTTCCAGCTTTAGTCTGGGCTTTCTGGCAGCCCAGAAAAAAGTTCAGTACCATTGTGGGGTAGCACAGTGCACATAGTCAGCCTTCAGAAAGGGTTTCCTAGTTGAAATAAAGAACAAAAGAAATAAAAAGGACGGGAGGGAGCACGGACTTGTGTACTATCAGAATCTCTGTCTCTGTGCTCCATCCTACCCCTCAATTCATCTTCCATTCAGCTCCCCCATGGCTGTGCCAGTGGAGGGTACTTGGGCTAGCCCCCAGCTCTGCCCCAGCTATGCATGTGACCTTAGGTCCTCTGGGGTGATAACCCTCTACCCTATGAGCCTCACAAAGGACACAGAAGACCAAATGAGACGGTGCTTTGAGATATGAGGCAGTCTGCAGATGCAAGAAGTAGCCGTGGTGTTTTGGGGCAGCCCACACCCAGTGTGAGTTCTGGGGCCACCCTTCCCCATCTGCTTCAGGAATGAGCTCGATGTAGACAGGACCTACATCTTCTTCATCCCCACTTTGTCAGGGGTTGGCACATAATAAGTACTCAGTAAGGGCTTCTTGACTGAATGAGAAGCCTCTTACCTGACATGGTTCAGGGACTTAGCACGGGGACTCACTGGGGTCTCACTGACCCACATACAATGCCTCCCTTTCCTCCCCTTCTGTTCTCCTTAGGAAAAATTGATAAATCTGACTGGAGGAATTTTTTGCCATTGAAGTTGTTTTAATTCAAACTAGATTGGCTTATGTGCTTCATTTTAAAGTCTCATTCTATAAAGGCTTAGTCCGTTAGTGGGAGTCAGACTCGTTGGAATTGCTGATCCATGCAATGAACCACCTTGTTCTGCTTGTCAGCGTGTGATCCCCCACCCCTCACACTCCAGCCCAGTGATCCCAGTAACTTTTTAGTCTGAAGAAATGAAGCAGCTGCAACCTCACTTCTCCTCCAGGCTGTCCCCCCTGATTAGATAACAGAGGCGCAGCCACAGAGAACAGGCTACAGGGCCAGGAGCTAAGGGACTCTCCCAACAAGGGGTTTCCAAGCAAAGGAAAGAATAGACAGTCTCCTGCCCTCCCACGGGTAGCCAGCACCTCCACACCTCCACTCCCTGGGGCCCCCACTGCAGGTAACACCCAACAGGGGAGAGAGGCTCCGCACTCCAACCTTGCCCTCACCAAACTGACCTCCTCTGCCATTTCCCTTCGATCCACAACCACTCTGACAGGCACTCGGATAAACAGCCCCTAAACTGAGTGATAATCTATGTATTTTAAGAGGTGCCAGCACGTTGCATTTTCCAGAACTAGCAAAATTGATAATGGCCTTTTTTTTTTGCAATCAATCCCAATCAATCAGTCATTGAATTCTTCCATATCTTCTCGGTACTCCTTTCTGACATATATGCATTTTAAAGAAATACGTACAGAGAGACAAGGCCTTAATGTGAGATAATGGTTCTCTAATAGTAGAAACCAGGCACTAGGAGAAAGGGATTCAAAAGAGATCTGCTGCATTCGTGCATCACTCCCCTCTCCTCTCCACGAAGATACTAGTAATTGACCGCAGTGAAGACTTCTCAGTGTGGGGCTCTGGGCAGCCACAACACGTCACTTCACAGTGGCCACATGAGTTCATCTAGCCCTTTGGGAAGCGCTCACCACATGAATTCTGCATGTCCTCCAGTTCTGAGAGCCAGGGGCCCAGGAGAAACTGCGAAGCTGCTCCCTCCAGCCTTCAAATCACACTGTGGGTGACCTGGAGGGGCCCAGCCATGCCGGAAGTGTCCAATGAGGGTGCCCAGAAGGCCTTTCCAAAGAGACTTTCCAATTCCCTGAAGGAATACTGAGAAGGGGTCTGTTGGAGGAGACCTATTGTGCCAAGAAAAACAATCAGCCTCTGATGACTGATTATAACAATTCGCTGCTACAGAAAGTCTTCAGCACCACCACCCGCATTAGCCTCAAGGGAGCTGACATTCTTGCTGAGGTGCTGCTCCACCCCTGCTGGACTGCTGTGCCCGGATGCTCATTCCGTCTGCTCTCAGAGCTGACCCAGGCCACCAGAGCATGAGAAAGGGCCTCCCCTCAGCACCCCAAATAAGGAGCCAGAAGTTGGGGAGGCCTGCATGGCTGATGGCTGTTGTGTTTGCTAATGAGCCTCTGGGAGCCCTTAAATGGGCTACACAGGTGCAGCAATGAGCCAGCCACACACAATATCACCTGCTTGGCAGCCAACCTAGCCCAGCATTTCCACCAGGGCAGGAGACAGACACCATGTGGGCCCCAGGGAGTCC